TGCCCCCCCCCCCCCAAGCACCAAGAATACAGAGCATCCCTTGCCCCAGACCGAGAGCCCCTATCTATACCTTGTGGCTAATAGCCACGGATGGACCTCTGTTTGTCTCTTGACTTGAAAGCCCCATGGGTCACCTGTCACCTGTCACTCAGCTGTGACTTGGTGACAGAAAAAAAAAATTATGAGAAACGGAAGGAATACCACTTTTGCGGAGTGGAAGGTCTGTGTGTGGGGGGCTGTGTGTGGGGGGCAGTGTCCCAGGAGAAAAATTAAAAAGAAATATAAGGCCTCCTCTACTTACAGGAAGTTCTGACCACAGAGTACCTTGAGATTCCTAGAGCTACCCAGAAGTGATGAGGGTAGGTCTAGGAACGGCCAGAAACTCTGTGGTAATCTAGGACAACTGCCCTCCTCCTCTTCGGCCTGAGTTTCCACCTGCCGAACAAGGGAGTATTGCTCAGCAAGAGCCACAATTGCCATCAATTCTATAGATTCAGGTGGGTGGCCATGCCGGTCTGAAGCAGCAGAGCTCAGTTTGAGTCCGGCGGCACTTTGAAGACCAACAAAGTTTAATTCGGGGTATAAGCTTTCGTACGAAGGCACATTTCTTCAGATACACTGAAACAGACTTTCCTCAAGGCTTACACATAGGTAGAGAGAAGGTGGAGTGGGGTTAGTTGCCGGGAAGGGCTAGTTAAGAATCAAGACACATAAGTAACTGAGCGATAAGTATAGCTAAGATTCGATTAAAGTAGCTGATAAAATCTGCGAATAGCAGCAATTCAGCATACAAACAGAAGGAGGAGGAGGAGATTGGATTTATACCCCACCCTTCACTCAGAGTCTCAGAGCGGTTTACAAACTCATTTCCCTTCCCCTCCCCACAACAGACACCCTGTGAGCAGTGTTCCCTCTAAGCTGAGTTAGCATGAGCTAGCCCACAGTTTTCTAGCCTCCGGCTCACACAATTTTGTCTTTGCTCAGGAAGGAGGGTTCCAGAGCAAACTAACTGATGCAGGAGCCAAATCGCTTGCTCACAACTTGAATGCCCGAAGCTCGCAAAGTAGAATTTTTGCTCGCAAGACTCCACAGCTTAGAGGGAGCATTGCCTGTGAGGTAGGTGGGGCTGAGAGAGCTCCGACAGAACTGTGGCTTGCCCAAGGTCACCCAGCAGCTGCACGTGTATTTCATAGTTAATATTTTTATTTTCCGTCATTAATGCTGGCATTATAAATGCCTCTAGTGGCGAAACCCATCTGGGTATTTTGACATAAAACTTTTCTTTTATACTTCTCCAAGTCTTTATTAAAGCTTCTCTGATTATATGCTTATAGAACTTTTTTTGTATTTTGTCTTTGTCATACTATACATAGGCATGCCAGCCTAAGCGCAGGTCATGACTTTCTAGTTTTAGTGTCCTTTGATCTTCTAATAATATCCAGCTGCATGTAGAGGAGTGGGGACTCAAACCCGGTTCTCCCAGATAAGAGTTCGCACACTTAACCACTACACCAAAAGAGTTAACAAACAGAAGTTTGAGTCCAAGGGCACATTTAAGACCAACAAAGTTTAATTCCGGGTATAAGCTTTTGTGTGCAGGCACACGTCTTCAGAGCCTTCCACTTACTCTCTCTACCTATATGTAATGGCTGAGGACGTCTTGTCTCACTGTATCTAAAGACGTGGGCATGCCCACCGAGGCTTATACCCTGAATAAAACTTGGCTGGTCTCAAAGGTGCCAAGCTGGACCCAAGCGCTGTTCCATCACTGCTATCGGCCATGTGAAGCCGTGACTTTATTTCAGGCAATCAAGCAGACATTCTTCCGCTGCTTCTGTTACTAGAGAACCGGATGAGAACTCACCGACAGCCTTCAACGATTGGTTGTGGGAGGTGGTTTCGAAGAGAGGCCCGTCCGGCCTCAGGTCCAGGGCCGCACGGCAGCTGATTTCCTCCCCATTGTCCTGTTGCCCAGCAGTTACAGTGTGGCTCGCTACAACATCGCCGGCTTCACGCGCTGCGTGCTTTTCAAACGTCTGCAGGTGCAGTTTCTCCCCGCCTTTGAGGAAGGTGACGGACAGGTTCCGGATGGGGGCGACGTCGGAAACCCGGCAGGTCAAGGTATACTCCTTTCCCACTTCCATCGCTGGCACCAGATCCAGCTTGACAACCGTGGGAGGTCCTGCAAGAGCATAAGAAAGGGAACAACCGTCAGCGGGGAATATATCGTAACGGGGAAGCTCAGGGCAAAGGAACGAACGCCCCATCTCTCTTCCTAAGGCAGATAAGGAGATAATAAACCAGCGTGGTGCAGTGGTTAGAGGGCTGGATGCGGCTCTGGGAGACGCAGGTGCAAATCCCCGCGCTGCCGTGGGTAACCGGGGGGCAGTCACATACACCCTCAGACATACACTACCTCACAGGGCTGCAGTAAGGATAAACGTGTTTTGGCCACCACACTATTTCTCAAGCTACCTTATTAGTAGTATTATTGTACGGCACTGTGTGTAGTAGAGCCAGGAGATCCTAAGATTGTCTGGCAGCCAGAAGTTCTTGCTCTTTTAGCATTATGCACCATTAGGTGGTGAGCTTACCTATCTATCTGTCTGTCTCTCTGTCTATCTATCAGATTCATACTGTGCCCTCCCAGCCAAAGTCAGCTAGACTTGTTTTTAAGGCAAGAGACATTTCAATGGTTTGCCATTGCCTTCTTCAGCGTCACAGCCAGTGTTCCCTCTAAGCTGAGTTAGTGTGAGCTAGCTCACAGTTATTTAGCCTCCAGCTCAGAGTTTTGTCTTAGCTCAGGAAGGAGGGCTCCACAGCAAACTAATATATGCAGTAGCCAAATCGCTCGCTCACAACTTTAATGCCAGCGGCTCACAAAGTAGAATTTTTGCTCACAAGACTCCACAACTTTGAGGGAACATTGGTCACAGCCCTGGTATTCTTTAGAGGTCAACCTTCTCAAGCTACCTGAGGAGAATGGATGAAGCGCCCAAGTCTTTACTCGGGGCAGAGGGTCAGCACATCCATTATGAACAACTTCTGAGGAGTTCTGGGCTTAGCTTGTAAGGCGGATCTTTTTTGGAAGGGTGTGTGTTTAAATAAACACTTGGACTTGCTGCCACAAGCTGCCTTATCGCTTTCCAAACTCTAGAGCAGAAGTCCCCGACCTTTCCGAGCCAATGAGCGCTTTCGGAATTCTGACACGGCACAGTGGACGCCGCCACCAAATGGATGCCGTAAAATGGTGGCCGCGGGAGGCGGAGCCAGCCACCAAATGGCTGCTGCGGCTTACTTTCCGTCATGCAGCAAAGATTCTTGTGTTTTTTTAAAAATCTGCACGGCCAAGGAGGACCCCTGCCGGCAAGAAGAAGAGGAGGAGGAAGAGGAAAAAGAGGAGGAAGAGGAGATTGGATTTATACCCCATGGCCCTTCACTACCCAAAGGTGTCTCAGAGCGGCTTACAAACTCCCTTCCCCTTCCCCTCCCCACAACAGACACCCTGTGAGGTAAAAGAAGAAGAAGAGGAGATTGGATTTATACCCCATGGCCCTTCACTACCCAAAGGTGTCTCAGAGCGGCTTACAAACTCCT